TTACGTCTTTCTTTTCACGGTTCGAAAACCGTTTTGTACCACGTTTCATGTTCTCTTCTTCTGGCAGCTGTATTGTCTGAAGATACCTCCATTAAAAGTGAAAAAAAAAACAAAGGAGATAAGTAAAAAGACGGTATAAAAGTGTATGTATATCTTTGAAGCAGTGAAGAAGACCCCTTCCCATCCACACAGCACTATTTCAAAATTTACGCCGACATAGACATTGGTAGCAAACTTACAGCTAGTGGAGCTAATCCTTGACGATTTTTCCGCAACAAAAACCGTCCCTCGCGATCGTCGCGATGCCAGGTAAGCTGCACCAGTAAGGGTTTTTCTTCGTCATCTAGTTTCCGCTCTCCACCACTTTCGTGAACCTGTGAAGAATTTATTGGGCATTGAAAAGAAAAAATTAGTCAACGCCTCATAGATAATTTCATCTGGAGAAAGCAGAATTGAAAAGAAATGAAACATGGAACCACACTTTCACTCGTTACGCTGATTGATTCTCATGAATGAGGGCAGTTTCGCATCGTATCGAAGATTCCATTAGGCGTTGCAACGAAAACCCAATCAACGTGTCAAGTTGCGATGAAGGGCAATAACTGGCAAATGAAAAGTTCTGCAGGATGTAGTAATTCTTTTACGGACAACCACAGCCCTCCCGCTTTACCTGCATCGTTAAACTGCAGGAGACCTCTAGTCCTGGACACTGCTGCATTATATGACCAATCCAACATAAGCTGCTACCGTTCGGTCGACGTACTACTTGGACTCGGCCCTTTGCTGCCTCACTCGACGCTTTCGTCTGCGCTCTCTCACCTTATCAGCGGCTCATGACCACTGTGATCTCACACATTCAAACTTTTGCCACACTGTAGTTGGCTCACCCACCTCGGAGTCCCTCCCCCTTACAAGGCTTAGTCCTAGGCTCTCACCTCCTTCCTTGGGATTTGGAGCCGAGCCAGGCGCCGTTCTCTAATCGTCTGTGCTCTCCGCCATTCGTGGCAGGACCATAGAAGAAAGTTCAAGTAGTCCGTAAACCCTACCGTTCAAGTTCTTTTTTTCTTGTAACCATGCTGCAACCTTAGTATTTCTGCCCTACCCCGATCACATCTAATTGAAATTGGTGAGCCGGTGACTAGAGCCAGTAAGAGGGAGAGAGCGGCACCATCCTCTTTTTGTAAGACCAGGAGGCTATTCACTAAGTATTCACAACCGCTTTACTATAGCCACCTTTGAATTTTTACCGAGCCAGCAACAAGACAAAAAGAGTTCAAAGAGACAAAAAGAGACAAAGAGAAAGACAAAGAACAAAAGATAGGAAAAAATAGAATAAAATGAAAACTGGAATAAGGTTCAACGTGTAAAACTGCTGGAGAAATAAATGGTGATTCCAAATTCCGAACAACGAATCTCACCTCCCAGAGACTGTAAGTGTCATCAGAAAGCATTTTCAGGTCCGGCAAGAATTTGTCAGTCAACGCTTCCACAACGGCACGTGTTGTCGCAGTACTAGACACACGGACACACTTCGTCAGTACTCTTTCACCACCATCCTGACAAATGCTGATTCTAATTACACACAAAAAAACTATAACTGATTTCATACTTGAGCTTATGCACTTCAAACCTATTCGTGCAGAATCGCAAGATCCAAATCCAAAAGATGAAGCG